AAACGTTAGAAAAGTTCCGTTCAACATTCTCTATGCCTAGGACCATCTATCACCGTAATCAGGGTAACAAGTTCAGGAAGCGTGCAAAACCTGGCTGAAAAGTTCGCGCCACGCTTGGAGACCTTTTCTTGTGTAGACTTCGTTATACAGGTACTTTACCTTCCGAACACGTATTTTGAAACTCGCGGGATGGAACAGGATACCGAGGATTCTTCGGAAGCACACGAAAATGGCCATCTTGATGGCCAAATCGCTTAGAAATCTCTTCGATCTGGTAAAAATGGGACAAAAAAAACTCGGTATCAATAACGAAGGCATCGACAATGATGAATATCAATAGTTATTTATGACTTATTAATAGACTGTTTTATTTTCACGCAAATATAGATTTTTATAGATTATTTTACTGAATTGAAATTATGTCCTTTTTTGTAATTTTACAGATGAGTAGGGGGCCCCGAATTACTAACTGTGTTGCATTAAGTTTCGGCGGGAATTCATTTTTAGAGAAGGAAAACATCCCTTGTGTTATTACCAGTATAAACAACATTATTTAAAGATTTTGTTTGCTTCTAAAAATTTCCTACCCTTTTACTTTTGTTTAAATACTATTAATAAACTCGGTAGCAGAAATATTTACGGAAATTATCCTACCTATCCCCTAAAAATCGTTACAAGAAATTTAAAAAGTTAGAAATCCAGTTTATTTCTCTCAAAGTATATGTGGTGGTATTTTTTCACGATTTTTAGGGGATAGGTAGGACAATTTTCGTAAATATTTCTTCCATCGAGTTTATTAATAGTATTTAGATAAAAGTAAAAAGGTAGAAAATTTGTAAAAGCAATCTATACAAGGGATGTTTTGCTACCCTAAATATGAGTTTCTTCCAAAACTTGATGCAACACAGTAACTCGACGCCCCCTGCTCGTCTGCAAAATTACAAAAAAAAAATCAGGCTCTGACACCAACATAATCCCCTTGTTAGTCTTTCATCATCCGTTGCCACCTTCGAACCAAAAAATACCATAAAAATTTATTTCAAGCTGCATGACCATTTTATTATAAAAAATAGTGGACTTCCTATTGATTAGAAAAATATAGTCTTCACGGTGACGGATGCACAACATTTTCGTGGTCTGGTCTGACACGAAATGCAATCTTACGATCGCGCGTACGATTAAATTGCTTGTAAACCCGCAGTTAGGGGAATCTGGCGTCCATTATTACGCGATGGCTGCGTGCGAGGCAGCAATATTCGACTCTATTCTATTTCCCGGCCGCGCAAGATGAGAGAGTGCAGCGAAACCCGACAACGAAATTCCACGGAACCCGCAAAGTTCCCGCGAAGAATGCGTCCGACGGTCGTTTTCCGTTTCCACGCGTTGCCAGACCCACTTTTGAAAGCGTCGAGTGTCGATTAATGAAACGCCGAAGGAACCACGAACCGCGTGCTACGAACGAGCAAGCACGTGCCCGCGAGCGCACGACGCTTTGCCGCCGGGGCGAAAATTTAATTTCGGTTCATTGTTAGCGAGGATTGAGTCACAGGTGGGGGAAACCTTTGATCGGCGGCGTGCCTTGCTTTTACCTTTTTAATAATAACATGTGAACCTCCCTTATCCGCGCGATGGAATTACAGTTTTTTTCCGGGACGCGTGAAACGCTCGAGTTTTCTGTATTTTAAAGCGGCGCGAAATTACGTTCCGCTTCGATAAATCCCTTTGACGTCGAACAAAAAGCGAGCGTTTTAATGTGATTATTAAGATTCTCCATACACAGTCGCCACCCACTCTCTACCCCTCACTCGATTTTAATTATTTCCTTTGTGTACGACGATTGCTAAATCTGTTTCCGATATTTCGGAATAATTTATTGCTTACCGGTGAATTGCTTTCTAGAGTGGGATATCGGGGAGGAAACAGACAAACGGTTTGAATTGGTTGGAATATTAAATGGGATTTATGAATAGAATGAATGGACGCTTGATAGCGTTAGTTGTAAGACGGTAAATATGTTTTTTGGTATACAGGGTGTCCCAACGAATGCGAGCACTTTCAATGTCTCACTTGTTTTTGAAGAGACAGAAAAATTTGAGGGGAAAGTATTATTTGGTTAGAATAAATACCTACTATGGTAAACAAAAATTTTTCTCGAGATTATATTTTTTGTGAAATTTCATGGTCATCAATGTTTTTTCAAATGGAACTACGTATTTTGATCAGCGTTATCGTTGAGATCAAGACCAATCTAATGACCTATAATGGTGTGACCATGTGACCTTGAATACGAAATAGATTTGCATAATAAAATAATAAGATGGATATCGTTTTGAGCATTTATAAAAATTAATTTTCTGCAAATCAAAAGCAAGTCAGATACTAAAGGTGTTTACATTAGGTGGGACACCCTGTATTTAGAGATTCGGTAAAGGTCTGGTAAAAGCCTCCCTGAATTGATATAATCATGTGAGTATATGCGGATCTACATACTGATTATATTGAATATGATCATTATGTGCATGATGATATCATAATTGAGATATAAGTCAATATCAATTTACATTGAGATAATGTACTCAACACCCCCTGTTGAGTTATTAGTGAAGCTAAGCGTACACGATTTGTGCATTTGATAGAATGAAGTTAGGGCTACCTTCCTACGATGTTAACTACTGTTAACTTGACTTACACAATTAATGCTTTCAAGGACTCAAATATTGGATACAATTGTTGTTTTTATAACCGAAATAACCCTTATCATAAAGAAGAAAAATTGGTTAAACATTTTTGTTGTGATTACTATAAATAAATTGGTTCGTAAGTCTTTATTTTTCTTTATTTTACAAATAATTGTAATTTTTTCCATATAACACAAAGTATTCATCTGAACCTGAAATATTTTCACTTTTGGATATTTTGTGATTCGAATATTGTTGGAGTGAAATTGCAGAAAACCTTACAATAGGGAAAATTAAATGGTTATCAGTACCCTCCTGCATTCTCGGCGCCCCTCGTCTTAACCGTGCGCCGCCGCAACGAAGGGGTTGCGATGATCTTTTGTTCCCCGGCACTGGCTTGCAATAATTGGCCACGCTTGGGGACTTTAATCGGCATTTTAATCCTGGAGGGGAAAGTGTTTTGTTTTACGCCACGCGGAAATTTAATGCTTTCACCGTGGAGTGTGAAAGTAATCCTCTATTGGGTATTTCACTCCAGCAAAGCTTTCGATTCCAGTGAGACGAAAAAATATTGCGTACTAACACAACACGTCTTTTATTCATTTCATTAGAATTCAGTAAAATAGGGATGAAATGAAAGAGAATGGTTACAACTTTTTATATTCGTTACTTTATACGCAGTGTTCACTCCTCTGAGGCTCTAGTCTGGTAAAAGTAATCACCATTTTGCAGTCTTTATTCTATTATTATCATTTTATGTAAGACATTAATTTCGATATTTATTATTTCCCAAATAATTTCTATATTTATTGAATTACTTTTCCTCCTTGACCAATTATACATTACTTACTTCCCGTTTGTACGACTACACGCTTTTCAGAAGTAATTGTCGCATATCAATTAATTATTATATTGCGGAAATTTATGCAAATTCAAACTTTCAGACGCTGACATGTGACAATTGAAATTCAACATTAAATTCATTATTTAAATACCTTTCGAACGTTATAAGATTTCATAAATGAATAAAAAACATTTGTAGCCTCTCAAATTAATATTTCTCATCAGTTCCCTTCTAATTAGATCCGCCCCAATAAATCAAGCATCCATCAAGCCATTCGCTTTTACGAAAACAGATACTATATAAAAATAAAAAGCCTACAAGAACATAGAAATTTCATTAAATTATTTATTTTAATATATTTTGCAAGTCCAAAGGTTTCATAAATGTATAAACATCCTCAACTTACCAAATTAATATTTTTCATTAGGTCCCATCTAATTAAACACGCCCCAATAAATCAAGCCATTTAAATTTCTTGAAACAGATATCATTCTCAACAAATATATCAACGTTCATAATTGATTCAACAAGACAACGAAACTTCTCAATATCATCTAGCACTCGCTTCTCTGGTCGAACAATATACTGTAATGTCTCGATGAGTGCGACATCCCCGGTCCACTTCGAAACATTCGTGACAAAGCGAAAAAGTTTTCAGCCCCTCATAAATTTGTTTTTTCTGCATGAAGCCAATCCTCTACTTAGCTTCTGCTTACTTTGTTTCGATTGATTCCACAGAGGGATTCCCCCAGTGGCGAGAATAACGCCGTTTCTGGCGCCGCATTCATCGAGAAATCACTGTAGTATAATCTTTGAGGGCTAAGACTACCAATAAATAATATGCATATGCACAAATTCCCCGAACCTTTCGATCAGACCCAGTCCTCAATCCCATCTCTACACAAAATCCACGGATCCCATTCCAATATCCGTCTAACGATCATCATCATTCGAATCGTCCATCCAAGTATCCGTTCCACGACTTACCACTCGACCGCTCAAAGACCCCTCGTTTAATAATTCGCTTGACATCGCCCCGCGTATCGAAGTATGGTATCGAGTTATCAATCGGCCCAAAAGATAGACAGGTGAGCTAGAGCCAGAGGGGGGGTTAGCAGGAAGTTCAGCTGCGTCCGGACGCGGGCGCTCGGCACGGCAGCCAGAGATCCGAGATTTTACGATCGGATTCCCGCCGTGCACGGGACGCTCGAGCGCGTACTCCCCATTCGTCGAACGGCCAACGGACCAGCATGCCGTCGGCTGTGTGCAGGCGTGCAATATTTGCGAATGTGCAACCAAAGAGAGAGAGAGAGAAATCGTCCTTTCCACCCGTGTATGTGTGTATGTCCCGGTCAGATAGCCATCTATCCGTGCGAATGGGTGTCGCGTTTTAGCGTGTGGTACCTACCCGGGTAGGTACTGTACACGATGGAGGCGGGTTTACCAGAGGAATTGCAACGTGGTGGTCATTGTTTCAGTACCCCCGGATATCCTGGACTACCCTACCAGCACGGACATGGTGGTGCGAGAGGGGAGCAACGTGACGTTACGGTGCGCAGCGACCGGTACCCCGGAACCGACAGTCACGTGGCGCCGTGAAGCCGGAGGCACAATCACCCTGTCGAACTGGCACGAGGGTACGTACCACCCATCGTCAGGGAATCGTCCCTGGAGCACACCTTTTTTCGATGGACCTTCCATTCCCTATTCGCCAGCTAGCCCATTCAGCCTCCCTCCATAGATGGAGACGGCACAGAGAGCATTTCCTTTCCTTTCCGTCCTATATCCGTTTCTGCTCCTTTTTCTCAGGCTAGCACATTGTTACCCTCGCCAGTCGTCGTCAGCTTCGCCCCTCTGCTAGCTTCCACGTATATTGCCACTTTCCTTGGTAGCGAGGCGCATACCTTACCCGGCCTTACCGTCGTCGAATAAAGGCGTGTGACGGTCGGTTCGGCCCGTCTTTCCTATCTTCTTTGATTGCTGCGACATCTTTATTGTCGGGGCTGAGAGACACACCTTCTTCCCAGGGGGGAGTTTTGAAAACCGGAGGTTTGTTCTTTGTTTGGATCTACGCTTGTTCACCTGCTGCCAAGTTGTCTTTGATCCGCGGGCGCGGGAGGAAGAGTGAATATTGCGATTTGAGCGAGGGATTTGTGGAGGATGAAGTATATGCTCCCTGTTTCAGCTGTGGATTTGGCGGAGGTATGAACGGTTTAGTCCGAAGGCGGTGTAAGTTCAGTTTTGCCTGTTTCTTTGATAGTTCAGTCGGATTTATTTGCTCACTGTGGCGACCGTATTGTCGATTTTCTCGAAATTGAAGTTATTGTTGGAATACCTTCGAAAGCAATTGCTCATATCATACCGCCACGAGAATAGTGTCGCAAGTCGAATAACGTGATTTTTTAAGAGAGGGAAAAGAAACTGATTCATTACGTAGCATTTCATCTGCGAAACAAAGTGGCACTAGCGCCATTTTGCTTGAAGTATTGGATTTCAACTAATGATATTTTTCTGAACGACGAGATATTCGACGCAATAAAATGAAACTTGCAAATTTTTAGTCTGTGACACTGTCCCGTGGGCGTATACCATGAACGTTTTTGCGTGTCTAAAATATACATATAAGATCGTAAAATCTCAAATCGTAAAATATTAAACGAAATGAATTTTGATATGTTCCATAAGCTTAGGAAACGTTCGACGGAGTAAGAACCGTCACAAATGTTACTTCAGTACAGTTTTCATTTTCTCGCAAAGAGAAAGTTCTAGTCGATGTTCTGGCAGTCAAAATGTTAAGGCTACCTGGCAACACGAATTCAGTTTTATAGCCTTTTCGTATCTGTGAAAAATATAAGTTATACTCCTCACCGAGGAAAAACCAATTAATTACCAACTAGAAATCGAATTACCATGATCTGATATAAGACGGAGAATTATGTAAGTCAATACCAATAATCGAACCATGATAAACGACAAAACGCTTCTTCATCATTCCCGTCAACCCTTCCAAGTAACAAGCTAACTACCTTCACAAGAGGCCAGGGCTCTCGTGTTCCTCTCCCGGAACGTATTAATCTCCCGTAGAAGCCAGCCTGCCAATTAAGCTTCGTTACTTAGATCCTCAATTAATGCCTCGATACTTCAATTATATAAACGAACCGTTCCAGTCGGCGGCGAAAACCGCACGAAGTTGGTCTCTTCGTGAATTCGGAAATCGATAGTTAACGTGACGGAGGAAGGGTGGATAACATGACCTTATCTAGCCGGAAGGAGGGGGGCTGGGAGGGGGTGGTCCGACGGAACCGTCGCGAAGAGCGGGTTCTGTTTTTGAGGCGTCAAAGCGTCCTTCGTTTTCTCCGTCCTTTTACCCCTTAATTACCATTCCCCCGGCACTTGGTACGAATTACTCGGTCGCCTCACTCTCCTTCGCCCGCGCCTTCGCCCGATTCCTCCGATCCTCTCGTCCTTTCTCGCCCACCGTGCCGTCGCGCGTCTGTTCAACCCGCTCCGTGACTAATTGCAAGCGGAAGTGCTGGGGACGTTTCGAATTGTACCGTGTGCAGGTGCGTGAGCAGGAGGGTTGGACTCGCCCGTCTTCCCATCCCCTTTCGCGCCTCTACTCTTCCCTGTTTCTCCCGTCCTTTCTGGCCTCGGGCTTAATGCTAAGGGGATAGAGGACTATTAGCCAGGCAAAATCGAAGGTTTTTATTTTGTGTTGGATTGCTTCGATACTAAATAATCATTATAACCGTACTTTTCACAGTCTATTGTGGAGGTGTTTGCGAGTAATTACAAGGGAAAACATTGTCGGTACAATCATAATTGTTTAAATTATTGAGAGCTAAAGGTGATCCTGGCGTAGAGTGTAGCTATAATTTGTGTATACATAGTTTCGGGTGAACTAGTACCTTAAAAGCAAAATACAGTAAATCCTCGATGAGTGTTCGATGACTTCTTGGCACTGGCAGGGTGACGTCCCTAGGTGTAAGGCTGACTTTTTGAAGTGGTTGAGCATAGTGATAAAGCTTAGAAAAGCTGGGATTAAAGATTGTTATGATATGATTGTCATTTCCGTACCCTTATTGAGTGTTGGAAATCTTAACATGTTCACTGTCATGGTGGTCATTGGTGACCGGCGCCATTAAATTACACGAAGAAACATTAAATTTCTAAACAGTAACATTTATGATCTTGTAAATATAATTAGTAACAGAGTAATAGCAAAAGTAACGAGTGTACCAAGTAAATACGTAAACAATTACATCATTAATAGTAATGACCTAAAGAAACGTATCTTACCATAATATATTACCTCAGGATTAAAAACATTGACAGTCAACGGGTTAACGTATTCCCCAAAAGTATTAAATGCGAAAAATTCGGTTACGACTCCACGTTACCAAGTACAACTTTAAAACCCACATTACCATTCGAGGGTTAACAGTATAAATTTACTGATGTTACAATTATTAGAGCACATAAATCAATCGATTGAAAAAATTAAAGGTAATAATTAACAAATCCTACTTCTCTACGGTAGAATTTACATTGAGATTTCCGTTCCACAAATATTTGTGGACCTAAAGCCCCAGGAGGATTTTTAAATACATCACGAGCATATTTCGAACGCTTGAAAAATCCCATTATCATCGCCGGAATTTCATTTTCCGGCCTGTCAAATATTTCGAAAAATGTTGTAACAGGAAATTACGAGGTTATCGAACCAGGGGTGGGCTAGAATATTTTCGTATCCCTCCTCCCTTGTCGACGCGGCGCGGATGTAAAGGCGAGGACGAAAGGATTTTCCCGCGACGGCCGTAAGATAGAAATGAATTTCCGGTGATTTATTCACCGGATGAATCTTTTATCGTTCGTGCTCAGTTTTGGGGGAATCGTTTTAAGCATTTGTCGTAACTCCTTTTTACTACCCTTCATTCGCTTCCTTCGTGAACCCACGGCGGCCATTCGATCACCGATTCCATTAGGCGATAAGTAGAGCGAAAATAAAATATTCCGTCCGGTACATCGTTTCCACCTTTCTTGTTCGCTTCCCACACCACCGTTCCTGTCATCTCGCAGCTCGACACGCACGGACCGAAGCGGTCTGTCGATCGGGAAAAATGAAAACTGGAGACTCCCCCCTCCCCGACAAATCCCGACAAAAGTTCCTGCTCGGTAATTTCGAAACGGCTAGAGACAATGGTTCTAGTAATTGCATAAGGGTGAGCAGCCCGACACGTGGTTCGAATTCAAACCGGTTAAATATTCTGTTCAACAAGTGTTTAAAGAGACGTGCTCCTCTTGATCGCGCGCAGCTGAGAATCTCGACGATCCCGAGTGTTCTACGGTATTCGTTTCATTACATGCTTCGCAATATCTGGAACAGATTTTTGAAATATTTTGTATAATATTCTTTGCAATATCTGGAACAGATTTTTGAGATATTTTGTATAATATTCTGTGCAATATCTGGAACAGATTTTTGAAATATTTTGTATAATATTCTTTGCAATATTCAAAACAGGTTTTTGAAATATTTTGTATAATATTCTTTGCAATGTCTGGAACAGATTTTAGAAATACATTCTATAATATTCTTTGCAATGTCTAAAACAGATTTTTGAAATATCTTGTTTGCATACTATTCTTTGCAACACCTTGAACAGATGTTTGAAATATTCTGTGCACTAATTGTTATTTACAAATACTATGTGATTGATATAGTATTTGAAGGATTGGTTTCTGAACGTTTTTAGAAGTGAATCGTCGCTGCTCCGAAAAGATATCCTTGTGTTTTATATTCATATTATGAGAGAAACTAAATTTCTTATATGAAATTAAATTAAATTAATTACAGGAAATATGAATGAAGTATTATATTACCATATAAGTAGTTCACTTCTAAAATTAAGTTTAAATTAAAAAAGAAGGACTTCTGGCCTGTTTTAATTGCCGACGCGTTAACCAGATTTTCTTACGAACATATGTATGTCATACTCAGTATGATACTGCATTCTTTTTTAAATACTCTTGTAGATGAAAAATTACCGTTACTCTGTTCCTTCGAAATAAAATGAGAAACGACATTATTCATGCTCCTTTTATTTCGTCCATTAGATTTTTAGCAGATGTACAGGTGTGCGCCACTCAACCATGTAACCCTAGTTGAACGTGAATATAGCACAGCTGTTCCAAACAATTTCGAAGTCGAAGACAATTAATCGAGTTACACCGAACTATAGTTATCGATTAAACTCTGTAGTGAAATGCGTTCGCTGCGCAGTCGGAGTGTAATAAAATTTACGTGATCAATTGTATTGTCGATGAAACCACATTGATGTGCGTTGAAATAAAATTCGTATTTCTCTGACAACTAGAATCATTGGAAACAAAAAGAGTATTTAATGGATAGATTGGATATTTTATTAAAGCAATGGTGAAATTTATTACCGCCTTCGGGTATCTGAACTTTCATTTAAAAAGTTGAAACAGGAAAGTCGATATTTCAGGTATCGAAGAAATATTAATATAATTTGCAACGAATAACGTGATATGAGATCGAAGCTTTATCGATTTCAATCTGGAATATTTCTTCTACAAATCTTCCTGGATTCGATCGATACTGGATGTTTTTAGTGTGATTCCCTAATTCCAAAGGGACTTAAAACCGGATGTCGTAATCTGTTGGAAAGTTCCTCCGTAAAAACTTCGGGATTATTTCGTTTAATTTATGGACTGTTCCCGTGCCAAAGATTTTGATTTTAACCACGTGAAATCTTTCTCGCGAAGTCTCCTCTGAAAATTTTACTGCAAATTGGATCGTCACACATTTTACAGTTTTCAAATGTTTTTCCTTAACTATCTTACGAATGTTGATAATTAATTGACATTCTAAATGGACGAAACTTACATCTGTAGTAACGGTTTCGAATCAAATAGTATGTGTTTAAAGTTAGCACAGATGTTACTTGAAACTGTTATTAATTTACATTGGCACATATATTTATGCAAACTTTAATACCGGACATTAAATACTACTACTAACTCTAAACAGTGCTACACTTCATAATTTTTATAACATCGTTAATTATAATTATAAAGTACTAATGTATACATATAAGAAAGAATATTATTCGTCAGGGACCAAACATAATATAATTTTTTATTGTAATGTGATCTAGCCTCGACATTTATATTGATTAGGCACCGGAAGTTTCTGCAATTTTATAATTTTTCGAAATTAATGCATAAAAATTACATTTCGACAGAGTTTTATTTCCAGTATTAGGGGTTCTAATACATTAACAATAATACACGAATGGTATTAAATTTTATTATATTCTATATTTCACTGTACTTTCAATATAGAAGATGCTACAAATGTATAAACGTCGATATTCTAATAATGATTGTACCATTTATTCCAATATGAACTGTCGGAATAGTCGTTCGGCCATTCGCATAATTTATGCCATAATATCTCATAACAGTACCATGGTCATACCTGCAATTTGCGAGTCTACCCTAGCTATCGATCCTCGAATAACTTCCAATGAATTTAGCTTCGCTTTATGATGCGAATCCAGGGTAAAAAAAATATGTTTATCGATAGACAAGAAAGATCGTTCAGGTGGGAAACGGTCACTTGCTTGCATTACAAACAAAATACAGTATTCTTTAGAGAATAACGTCAGCATTAACGCGTTTTGTTACAGTGGCGAGCATTCAGGGCCCGGAGTTAGAAATAACACGTGTCACGCGCGTCCACATGGGACCGTACCTTTGCATAGCTTCGAATGGAGTGCCGCCAACAGTCAGCAAGCGGATCGTTCTCATTGTTCACTGTAAGTAACGAGAATGAACTAATTAATACCTTGATATTATATTAAATTGGTGTACATATGCAATGTTCATTTTAGTATTGGCGTTATTATATTGAACATTGTACGAATTTTGTTCGACAATTAAGATTAAATGGACTCTATACACGTTTTTAATTGAAATAGATGTGTTGCATTCATGTTATATTAATTACGTAATTATTATACTGAATTTGGAGATGACTCTTCGAAGACACTTTTAGTTGCCGTTTTTAGGCCAAATGTCGTCGTTGTTAAATAGTATTTTTTAACAGAGCCATCTTTATAATATTTATTTATAAATTTGACTTAAATGTATATCTGCTAATGGACATAGAGATAATGACCGAATTTAATTCATATTGAGTTTCTACCTTAACTAACTTAAGTATTTAACGTAATTGATTTTATTCTACCCTGGAACGGGTAGAGTACACTGTGAAATTTTTTAGTAAAGAATGGAACTTATGTTAATAATTTTCATTCATGTGCAACGATCTACACCTGAGCTGATTAATAATGAAAAAGCTGCACCCGTCTTAGGTGTAGCGTTATTAAATTGCTTGAAGTGTTGTTCTTTTTGATTTTGTGGAATAAATAAGTAACGAAATGTTTCAATAAACCTTAATTTGCTAATAATATGTTACTGGTCGCTAGTTTATTAATAGGCTTTTTGACCATAGTGCTTGTTGATAACGAGGCCACTAATTTACTTTCAAATCAGGATTAATAAAGAAATCATTATGTCATTAGAACTGTCGGTATATTTCAAACTTGTAATTTCTTACTGCAATTTCTACTATGATTAATAAGCTTCTTGACCACAGTGCTTATCGATAAGGAAACCATTAATTCACTTTTAAATCGCGATTACAAAAGAAATCCTTATGCTCTTAAAACTCTTACTCTGTTTTATACGTGCAATTCATCACTGCGATCAAACTATCCTATAAACAAATTCTTGATTGTTGATCGTGAACTCGAAAAAAATCTGTCCAATAGCTGCTAAAAATATAAGAAAAAAGTTGCTCAAATTCTAGATCAGAGGCTACAATTTCTTTCCTACAATCTGTTATTTCATTTCGTTTTGTTTTTATTTAAATCGACATTTCTCAGCGTGAAAATATCAGGTGTAACTCGCGTGTAACGAAAGTAACGGGTTACGAGTGCTAACGATGTAGGCTGCTGAAGAATTTCTTGTTAGAGGGGGGGTTCATAACGCACGCATGCTCGAAAATGCAATTTGTGGTCTCGCAACGCGGCCCTCTCGCGGATCTCCTCGCGAACGCACTGCATAATGACGCCACTTGGGACATCGTGAATGACAGATGCAGAGGGAGAGCATTGTCTCCGGGAGCTGAAGCGACGCCTTAAATATTTTCTGCCTGCGGCAGCGTCGAGGCCACCCGCTATCACGGGCCGACCTGTCGAGACTGTCACGGATTGATTAAAATAAGGGCCCTAGAAACGCCCGCGCGAGCTTTGTCGTGTGATTCCGTGTCGGGCTGATTCATTCCCGCGAACTAGTTATTCCTCGCTACTAACACAAACCACGAAAATAGTCATCGTACGAGTATCCTTCCAGTTGTCAGCGAGCGGATTAGAGTTTGACAATAGATTGAAGTAAATTGAAAGGGAATTGTGATATCTCGGGTCTCACGTTTGTAAATTGGACTGAATTACAATGTGTGGCAGTTTGTTTTGAAATTGCTGGAAGTTCAATTTCGAGGAAATCGATAATACCGTTGCTAGGGTTGCAAATGGTGGAAAAAGTGGACTTACAGGATTTTCGAGAAAATCAAACGGTTCACGTAATTCTGTTCTTTGAATATCTTATTTTGTTCGAATATTAGTAATACGAATTGAATGGTTTATGTGGTGGTGGTGGTGAGTTTTTTTGTGGTATTAGGTTCGTTTAATTTGGCGCAGTCATTTCGATGGGACTTTATTAACCCTTAAAGACACGGACCGTGAATATGCCATTCTTTTTCATTAGTTTGACAGGCAGTAGCAAGATTTTTGTTTATTTTTTTATTTAATGATTTTATATTTATAATGGCAGATAATTAGGTTAAAAGAAAATATTTTCTGTGTAAAAGGAATTTAAGGAAATAGAAAATTTCTCCGTACCAATCGTGTTTTTGAGGGGTAATACTGGGATTACCAAAGCATTCAAAATGATAGGTTTGCAAACTCTTACAAAAGTTATTAAAATACCTCATAACAGTGTATTTCCTATAATTCTTGGCAACTTTTGTTGCAATATATAAATTGAAGAAGTTCATTAATTTATCTATTTGCATATTTTCAACAAGCTGTGCCTAGTATCAGTGTGATAGAAATAGAAACATTTGTACCAGTATTGTTTTTCATCTTTTACAAATTGATCTCATGTATTTAATCGTTGAGAGTGATGGTATTGCTATAGTGTATAAATATATGAGGTAATACGGGACACCAATGTATTATTAGAACTTTTTTTGACAGTTCAACCGATGGTTTGGGTTGAAAACCAGTTAGTGGGCGCTTATGAGGGCCAGGCACTTACATTGGAGTGTCGCAGTGAAGCTTACCCAAGACCGATCACTTATTGGACGAGGCCATCGAACGAGACGATCACAAACGGTTCGTATGACTTCATTTTTCTTTTAAAAAAGAAGAAAATAGTGCAATAAGTAAGAAGCGTATAGAATCACAACAACAAACATGTATTTTGAATTTTATGTGTATCCATATGAAGAACCCGCGATGGAAAAATATTTTCCAGAATTTTATTCGTTTCAAGAAAAAGGAAAACCTATGTGACATATCGACATGTTATAATATACACATAGGAAAAGGTAGGTATACAGAGTGTCCTCAAAATTGTAGTGCAACTGGCCGGGTCGTGATTCTACATGGAAAAATAAGTTCGAAAAACGGAATAACATTTTTTCATTTAAGACTTCATTTTCGAGATCGAATCGAATTTGAATACCTGCTGGATACGCGTGCATTTACTAAATAGGACGTGGTTAGCGTGTCTGTGCAATGCATTCCGTTTCTACTTACTACCATGACGAATACACGCGTTTCAGATAATTTTCGAAATTCGATATTCTCGAAAACGAAACCTCAAACGAACAGAATTTAATCAATTTTTTCGACTTATTTTTTTCTGTACAATCACTACCGGACTGTATCACGACTTAGTAAAATATTCCATATCCTCTGTATTCATAGAAAAATGTAGAAAGTTAAACAATCGATACTCAATATTCCAATATTCCAATTATAACACCCAGTTCCGTTTTTGACTACTGTTAACGAAGTGGCGATCGATAACGAAAAACTTCGTTTTCATAGCAAATACGTTGGCGACCGGAACCGCGAGATCTCGTTTTGGACGGGAGCATGATTTATTTATTACTTCCTGGATAACTGAATTTTCTTTATATTCGGTTACTGTCGGATTCGTCGCTGAAGATATTTTCAGTTTGGCGTCCTGAGTTCGGCGAGCAAACAAGTATGTACATCAAATTTCAACGAAACTTTGTCGGTCGCCAGTGTCTAAAGTGCTCGATACAGTCGGTTCGGGAAGTAAGTTAACGCTCCCTCTAAACTGTTTAAATTTACGAAAAATTTTGTACGTTATATTACCATGGGATACAACGTTCTACTGTTTCTTTCACCACTTATCGAAGATTCACTAGACTATTGAGTATTTACTTTAGGAGCACTTTGACGAATCACAGGGTATTTCCGAAATGGCGGTACAACCCAAAAGGATGTGATTCTAAATTGAAAAATAAATCAAGAATGTAGAACAACATTTTTTCGTGAACCACCATTTCAAAAACATATATTAAATACGATTTCTCGTTAACTAACTTTCGGAGGTGATTGTACGTATTCAGTTAAACGTACTTACCTCTGAACGTCGAAGAATAAAACGTAGGAAAATCGAGCACAATCACTCACACGATTTAAAATCGCAGGTCTAACCAGTTCACCCGATTATTCTGTCAAACAAAAGAAATTGTCGCATTTACCACTTGAATATCCAGTTCATTCAGCTCAAATCCCTGAACCATTGAAACCATTCAAGCATGATAAACCGCAACGGACATAAAGGTAGATTTAAGCGTTTCCAGTTTAATTCGCCGTTAAAAAAAATCTCCAGACGATCTATATTCGTATGTGTACGCGTGATAATTTCTTCCGAGCCCTAAACCTGTACGGGTTTTTTTATTCGTTTCACTTCATTACCCCTAGACACGACGATTTCGCTCTAACATCGTTGCTTCGCTTCAAATGCCAGGTCTAGACCCCCTTGACGATAATTAATAACGCTTTGACTGCCAAGTCACCCAAATATTAATGCCACGTAGATTGCAAGAAGGGCAGAATTATTGAAATACCGTGACGAAATCTTGCGTAAAATTATTATCGCAGTATAATTTGAAACAAGACCAACACCCTCTATTAACTACACGCATATACAGTGTGATCCAATAAGAATTTTTTTCGAGGTGGTCGACTTTCATGGGCTGCAGCGCCATTTTTATTTCATACTTCAAATCAAACGAAATTTGTGTTTATAGTTTAAGAAGTGATAAACATATAAGAGAAACGTTTGGCATAAATATCTTTCACCAACAAAATTCTTGACAAATTTTAACAAAATCGCATGTCAGAGTAGAATGCCCCTTTAAGTCATACATCGTCGAAAATACAGGGTGGCTTAATAAGAATTGGTATTTGAATATCTCCATTGTTTTTGGAGATATGGGAAAAATTTATTAACAACAATTCGTCAATATAGAGGACAAAGGGCAACGAATGAAAAACGGTATTAAACAATGTCGAATGTTGAAATGTTATTGTCAATCATTTATATGTCATGTAATATACCCAAAAATACAACAAAATATTTCTTTGGTAATTTTTAAATAATTTGCGAATGAAAGGGTTAAAGGGCGACCCGAGCTTCAACGCCTGAGAGGTTGTGTTCGTCGCGCGTGCCTGCATGCACGGGTTTAATTGATAACCAAGCCGCCCTCCGCTATCCCTGGCCAGCACGAAATTAATAATAAACGCGTGATATTCCGTACATATCTTAATTCACATTCGGAACGTGAATTATTGTCCCTCCGCTGGCCGTTAATTGCCGCGGCGAGTGTGTGGAAACATTTATTTCTGAATTAATTGATACGTCGACCGGCCGTCGAGTGTTTCAGCGTAGGGAAAAAAAAAACTTTCGGCCGTGGCGTGACAGGAACTCGTTAAACTTACAGATTGAACCGAACGAAATGGACGACAAGAAAGACACGGACAAAAGTGGGGGGGGGGGGGGGGCGCCGGGCCAGGTGTTGAAAAAGTGATACGAAACAGAGCGCAAAATTGTTTCTCGGCCAGGCGATGGCCACGTGATAGAATTTCCTCTAGTTTCTTCTTCGATGGTCGACGCGCGACGTTTCATCCCCCCCTCCCCCTCCCTACCCCCCACGGGTATAAACGTTTCGCGAAATGAAATGTGTGTTTGATCGACAGTCGATTTTTTTCGAGGATGGAAAAGAAACGCAGAATCTTGTGTACACACGTCACACGCACGCACGTGTACAATACAAGGTTTTCATTGAAAAATATAAATCACGGGTTTCTCGAATGTTGTCGCTGCGTGAGAGAAAAATGTTGTATATCGGCGTGATACCGTAAACGTTGGAATGTGATTAATATTGCTTTTATAACTGGGCGTTTGCGAACGTGACAGAATTACTCTGCGTTTTGCACGCTGTCGAAATGTTAATATTGTATAGTGGACGGGGAGAGACCAAATTTTCCCATTCTGGAAATTGCTGTGTGATCTGTTTTTCTCGGTGCTTGATACGTTTCAGAAGTACGGATTGGAAGGGAATATAAAAGTGAAGAATGTTAATAGAAAAATTAGATTGACGGGTTAAGAAACGATATTTTGAAATGGTTTGTAGAATGTTTGAATGGTAAAAAATGAAGGGAAAAATATTGAAAATTAACAGAAATTGTTACTAAATATTTGTTACATTGTTGACGATGTTAACTCTATTAGTTGTTTGCATAAGCCACGAACGTCGCATTCGAGTTAGTGTAGGTACTATGATTTGTTTTTTTTTTTATCGATAGGAACTTTGAACCTTTTTTACCAGAGAAATGTCAAGAATTGTAAAATATAATTGCAATGTATTTCGAGTGACAGACGTTGAAACACCTTAATAACGATTTGAAACTAGATTATTTAAATATCGTTCCAAAATTTTTGCGCAAACATAATATCGCAGTATCATTTAAAACAAGACCAACAGCCTATATTAACTAAACGCATATATTTTCGACGACTTATGACTTAAAAAACGAAATAAAGTGTGTTGGGATATACGCGGCTTTTTTCACTGTGGCAACCAACGTGATAAAGTTTGTCGACAGAAAAACGGCCATTAATTTTGCATACGCCTGATATTAGGTTTACAAATTAATTCAGCTCTTTTTTTCACCATTTTGAATGCTGATTTACGAAAATTCATATACAATTAAAGACCATACGAAAAAAAAACATGGTAAGTTCATGATTGTTGATTTTCTGATTTTTATGTTATCTCGTAATTCAGCCTTTTACTAAATTTTGACAAAGACTGATTCAAGGAATCCAGGTATAATGGATTAGGACAAGGAAGGAAGCTTCCTTGGACGTTTACCGTTTCGCGTGGATGTGACCCACCGAATCGACCAATCAGCCTTACGGGAAACCTCGACAGTTTTTAGCCAATAGCAAAGATTCTCCTTTTCTCGTAGTTTGTCTTACTATTTAATCAGTCAACGTCTCTGTACATAGACCACATCACCTCCGTAACTCTCAGTTATTTAATCTATCTTGTTAAGAAATAGTGATTGTTGTGCTCAAGTGTTTGTTCTCTTCGTATGAAACAGTCACATAAAGTTAATTCTGCCCGTGAAGTGAGGAAGTACGAAAACTAGTCGCGCTAAAAACTTTGTGACGCAATAAGACGTCCAAGTGGAACGTGGGAATCATATAATAAATCTACGAAAAACACAATATTAAAAACTCACCTTAAAAAGTGAAATAACAATTTACGGATTACCTAATCAGTGGTTCTTTTAAAAAAAAACTATTAAAAACTACTAAAGATATTTAAAAACTACTACTTAACTGTTATTTGTCACACTCTACATATAGGAAAAGCGATTTTTCCTATTTTTTACTATTCTAGTTCTTATTTAAGAAACACGTACTACTACGTTTTCGTTTTTGAAAACACGTACTACATACTACGTCATCCGACATGAAAGTGTTTACAGAATGAAAAAGCTGACAAGTCCACGAAACTTGATAAAAAGCCAAGGGCATATTTGCAGTGTTCAAAAGACCGATTAATCTCGAAACCAAATAAAAACACAGTTTTCGTAATATAGGATTGTTTGACAGCGTTTCGAACGTAAAAAGTGCACCCCCTGCAAATAACGGAAAATCTGTCTCATGTTTTCCGCCCGTGATATTCTATCGAAAAAAAGTAACCCTCGTTATTTCCACGAATGTTAAAGCACCATAAAACCGCGAAAGGGCGGGCGAACACCGAAATTTAAAACGGAAATATAATCGGTTCAATGTAATGGGTCCGCCGAATTAATTTGTACGCCTAATATATCATCCCGTTTCGGTGTGTCGTGCATAATTTATGGGTCCAGTGTACACGTTTCCTCGGTTTAATCATGATAAGTCACGAGTAAATACCTGGGGTGCCGCCGCCACCCCGTATCACCGGTTTGTCGGGGCGCCCAAAACATCATGGTCCACCGGCCATTGGACGTCGCCGTAAAATGACACACGGGGCGAATTACGCGTGGCCTCTCTGGCGTGCATCCACTTTACAAGGTTTCATAACATTTACCGGACCCCTGGCACATAAACAGGCTGCAAGTTTACCCCGTCCGTCCGTGTGCCTTCTTCAGCGGGCGAGGCGGGTCGCCGGGTTCTCGGTAATAAAACAAGCGAACTTTTTAACGAACGACAACTGTAATTACACGGTAACGAAATTAGAGGCGTAACTTGGCCGTGACCAGACCACCCCCTACCCCATTTCTACACGGCGGATAATTCGCGCGTGTGTTTTGCGAACATCGGGACGAAAGGGGTGAAACGTTGGCACCGTATTTTTTCCATTATGAGAGTTGGTTACTTTTTGTTTTTGAGAGAGAGATTATGATCCTGTTACGGGATCCAGAAATTATTTTGACTGACGAATAGGTGGAAAGTATTGGGTTGTAGAATCAATTTTGTTTTTCAGTGCGATTTGTTTTAGGTATTTTAGAATCGTTAAATGTGGGATAGAAAAGATTGTAACTCGTTGGCGAGAGTGTTCGTATTTACGAAATGAAATGCCTATGTTGAAAGACCTTTATTTCATCGAGTATAAATTGGAATAAGGACACAATAGAAGGGAACAATGAGGAGTACAGTGAAATTCAAAAGGACAGGTATATTTTATTCTTTCTTTCATAGATAACAACTATAAGGTCGAGACAATACCGAGTGGATACGAGATAATGATGAGGCTCACCATAAAGTCCGTACGACCTCAGGACTTTGGATCATTCCGATGCCTGGCGACCAATTCACTGGGCGAAACTGACGGGAAAATAAAACTTTATAGTAAGTACAATTTTCACTGATCGTCAGGTACTGGTATTTTAATTTGACAATTACTTAACGGGCAGATAACGTAACAGTGTAAAAGAATAATATTTAAGTCTTGTTTAATTTCGTTTCAAACAGAGTTGACCTAATTTAAATTCATAAAGAATTACAATGCATGCAGCATCTACGTATTGTATTTCTATTTTACAACCATTAGTTAATACAATATTGGTATCAAGCCACTATAAAAAGTGTTCAATTAAACTTGATAGCAAAGTATTTCTAGTCTCTCTAAAAACGTAACTTTATAATATTTTACAAAGATGGCGGTAAATTACAAAAGCTCAACAAAATTCCACTGTTCGAACGGACGTTCTATTTTCATTGTTATCGCGTGCAACGATAAGCGTGTTGAAATGAGAGATCACCAAGTTGTCCAATCAAAACGAATTTTTGTTTCTGCTATGATTTATTCAGGTCCCGCAGCTGCACAGCAATTTCATAACTGGTAAACTTTTCTACTTATCAGTTGGCGAAATCCTCTCGTTATCGTAACTTCTGTTAATTACACGGGTCTCTGCAACCACTCGATAATATCGGATCGAGAGAAAGAGAGTGGCCCCACTTGAATATTGTTGATGGACCTACCGGAGTCGCTTAGCTCAGCCTTTTCGAGCCACTCTATCGCAGTCAATTAATTCAACTTAATAAATGCCGTTCTACTTTGGCCATTGTTTCGAATCAAAGACGGACTTCCGCCGTGGGGCTTAAGCGTTCCGCGAAGTTAAACGACCGAAAGGGAACTCGGACCCCGCGTTTCATTCCGATCGGCTGACTCCGCGGCTTAACATCGCGGGAATTATGCTATAGACAGTAATAAAATCGTATACATTTGCATTTATTTCTCTGTGATCGACAATTCCATAGTACGTTGCTATATTTAAATTGTCATTCTTTTCAAACTTCACGCGACTGTAGTAACTTCAATGCGACCCTTCATTCTTCTCTAAACAATTAGATCCCCCCCTAATTTAATGGAACAATATTTTTTTACATTGATTTCGTAGCTTCTTTCGTTTACAATAATTTCGTTAAATATTACTATAAAATTTGTTGAAACATATCCGTTCCAATTAGAATATATTAATTGCACCAATAAGTAATCCATTGTTTTTTAATCCTTTCGAGACTGACTGGGAAATACGTCCCAAGGTAACTTTTACAATATGAGCTAGGATAAATGATTCCAAATTCAATTATTTACTTTTATGAATACAATTTATAAAGAGAAAGATATATTACATATTCAGCACCCAAGGTGAACACGTTACCATACACGTTACCATTCACAATATTGTAATTAATTACCTTATTTTATCAACCATTTGTCTTTGTTAACTATTTGTTGAGACATTTCAATGAGTAAACTTATTTTTCAGTTATCATTTTTTCTGTCACTATTGAGACCGACTGGGACATATGATCCGATTGCAAAGGACTAATAAGGTCTAGATGTCCCATTTTGAAAACTAGTATTGACCTATATTTTTTCATTTTTTAGTGCATTATAGCCAATATTATTATATAATTCAGTTCATCGTTAAAAAATGATCCCTCTCGAAAATTACGAGGCGGGCTACTTTAAATTCAAAGTACCTTTTCGATCTTGAATTAAGTAATAATCACTGTGAATATAAATTAAACACCCTTGACTACTATGGAAACGAATACCAAATTTGTGAAGAAATAGCAGATTACTTATTTATTGTCTTACTTATTGTCGCACCTAATAGTTTCACTCTAGGAACATAAATGACGTAATTGCAAAATGTAAACGCCTCCAGGCTTTTTACTACTATGAAGGATCTGTAAATTCATTTTTCAAAAATGCACATAATTTGAAGCAGGAAATCCTCTCCTTCGCAAAGGTTTCATAAACCAACCGAGCGTTCCTTAATTACGAAACGGTTAAATTCTGCGCGATGACGTTACATTAATTAATCCCGTCGAGTTAATTCCCTTATCCTCGAGATACATTAACCGAGGATCTCTTGTCCCTTCAACACTTTGCCCATTCAACTTTTACTAACAATTATGAAACCCTTGTATCTCTTCTTCGTGTTTCATTTCCATAAAAACACGTCGGTGATTTCAATGCCTATCACTCTACGGGAATGACTTAGCCATTGAATGTAAAGTTAATTGAATAAACAAACGCCTCTCCACCAACAAACAACGATGTAAATGTTGGAAAGTTACTTATTATCGTGACAGTGCATCTGGCTTTGTGCAGGAAAGTATATTAATAATCTGGTAATTAAAATATTTTAAAAGTTCAAAAGAAATTGAAAATTTTGATTAATTTATATTTCACTTTGACATTACACAACAAACAAACTTTTGATCACATCAGTTCCCATTTTTATATTTTTCGCGTAATTTCAATACATGTTACACTTTTCATGGTTACTTTAAAAATGCATAAGACGTGAAATTTCGTACACCGATACGGTTTAATGGCAGCCTCTTTGCTCGTATTAACGGCGAAATTATATCAAACATTTTTTCCCACTGTGTTAAGGCTGAGGTTCGTTTCAAAAGATGTTTAAGAACTTGAAGTGACGTTTCTCGTTAGCTAACAACGTTAGTAGCGTAATTTATCCTAGAATGAAGGAGAGCATAGGGCTGAATATCGTGGGAACCGTATTTTGGATCACGTTGGATAATGATGGACAAATACAGCGTCACATCACGTGAAAAGTCTCGAATAAATGTCCCGAATTAAGTTTAAATATCGATTTTCGGAAAAAAATAGCGCAGGAATATCTACAATGCATCCAAAGAGTAATTTTCCAGTAATTAAAGTATCTATCCAGCAGCCAACCGAGTTGCCACTACTAATAAGAATTTCATACACTGTGTGGCATAACTATAACACTACTCTAAAATTTTCAATCGTTACGTATTGTATTTAAAATAAAAACGAACTACTCTTTTCTAGGGAATATAATATATCCTTTTCTGGGGAAATATTATGTTGCAATACGATTTCAGACATTGCATACTTGGTTCAGTTTTATTTTAACCACAATATGTAAGAATTGAAAGTATTATAGTGGTCTTATAGTTATGCCACACAGTGTACTTCTATAATAAAACCGAATTTTTTCATTAAATTTTCTTCGACCTACCAAGTACAGTAATTCCTATGCAGAAAGATCTGCAAAGAATATCAGCAAAAAGTGATGCGTTTTCGGTGTCCTTTTCACTTTAAACATTATTTAAACATATTTAGATATCTATAATATAATAATAATGTATATCATTTTGTTCGGAAGTGTCCAGAGAATTATTTCGTGTCGAAAGAAATTGCATAACTATTACTGTAAAATCACAACACAGTTCTAAACTTGAAAATTTGCAATTTTCCTTAAAATTGGTTTTTTCAAAAACTGGACATGCTAGAAAGATACGGTTTGCAAATTCGTATTCATCTCATGAAGATCTATAAGAAACGCTTATTGAAAAGTCAAAAAATTTGTAGGTATTGAACAGTGTAGGTAATTAATCACCTATCGACTTATAGTATCGACAAGCTTTCCGCGATGGGAACAAGCGTGCATATCGAAAGGGTGCAAAAAGAAAGCGTCGGGAGGAAGAAATTTGACGAATGGCGAGAAGAAGGGAACGCTCGGTCGGGTACTTAATTATCGATAATTGTAAATCAAGCGCGCGACAAGCGTCACCGCGGAGCTCCTCGAGTAATTTGCCCCCGCCATCTAATTGAACAGACCCCGCGTACCCCCGAGCCACTTTCGAGTTTCCTCAGATTCTTTTTCCTTTTTCTTTTCTTCTTCATCTTTTTCTTCCCCGCGGCGTTGTCCACGTTTAACTACGTTAGCAATAATTAGCGGCGGAGAACGAGCTGCGGCTTACATGCTTCATTAAAGTCGATTAACTTCGACGGAGATCTCGTTCGATGTTGAGGAGAAGCAAATTTAGCGGACAATCAGGCTGAGTGGGCCTATGAGGGGCGAGTCGTGAAGGGGATACTTTGAGGTGGACTCCAAGCTCCTGAGCAAATTAACGTGACGGTAATGGAAGGCATGGTTTTAGTTGCGTTTCCGTCGTCTTAACGGTCAGAATTGTAATTTTCTCTTTTGGCGAATTGTTTTCGTAAATTTAATAATTTTGTAATAATTTCGGCATAGTAATATTGTAATAATTGCCATTTTGGGGAGTTTAACGTTTCTGATTTTGTGTTTCGTATGTAATTCTTGGGAGATGCTGGAGAGAGAGATAGATCCATCTACTGAATTATATATGGCAGAATGGTACTAGGAAATGTTTATTTTAACGTCGTCTGTGACGCAGGACGTTTATGGTCGTTCGTAGACATTGGTGCTCAGTTATGGGCTCCAGTAAATAGTTAAAGTTACACGCTATTAGGTCGCGAAAAAGTGGAACGTTTCAAAAATTACATTTGGAGAAGCTTTAGTCAATTGTTAAAAATACTTCAGATTACTTTATACAAAATTTTTTCGGTTTCTGAGTCTTAGGAGGTTCAAATTTTAAATAGAATTTTTCCGAGGAGTTATTATTTTTTCTGAAATTAGTTACGTAAATAGTAGACACAATTTTTAAAATTATCCTTTTGCGTTGCTTCTTTATGGAAATCTGTTCAACTTCTAAAAGGATCAATAATTCTTTTATGTAGTATATTTTCTAGAAATTAAAATCAGATAAAGTTTAGTTACCATTGATTTAACAATAATACAATGCAAATGGAATAACTGTTATAGTTGAGGTAAAATCGATTTCGGCTTTTTCGTGTTATTACCCTGCCGCCATTTTACTGTTCCCTGCCTTTTTGATGAAATCTGAATGCGAACGCCCTCTCTACCTGACACAGCGAAGCAACACGCTACAGCGTAAACGTAATGACCGCGGTGTGAATGATTCATAATAGAAGGTAATGCCCTCAAAACATTGTACTCGTGTATCGAATAATTTCTGTCCGAAAAAAAAGCAACTACAAAACGATTCGAATAATACTAGATCAATTTTAGGAATTTCATGTAAACTATGCAGTATATCGAAGTTTCTTTTTCCAATTAAATCATGGAATATTAACACTGGAACTACCGACGATATCTGTGATCATGCGAGAAATATTCTATACGTAGTTTAAATGGTTTCAAGAGACGAATCAGGTGGTGGAAAAAATTATACAAGTGGATTGAACATTTTTAGAGTAAATTTTTTATAAGTAAATTTCAAATTCTAGAGTTCAAGGTCATTTCAAGTTCATATTGTTATACTTGGATAAATGCATATTATCCTCTTGCCTTGCGATTTTCTTGACGTCTACAGTCTTCGGAAATACTTTATTATTACTAGCTTCCTAGAAACAAAATGAATTATGTACTAATTGCAAGTGTACATTTACTCTAATATCTTAAATATTAATACCAGCAGAACAGTATGTCACTTCGACTCAAAGAAAATGAATAATATTTATGTCTATGAAACCCATATTGAATATCGCCACCACGAGTTCAACTCGATGTCATAAGGAAAGGGGTTAATGTTGGCTATAACATACAACAGGAAAAATTATGTACATATACGTAAAGAAAAATGGGTCACCTTGAAAAACCATTAAAAAATGACACTTATAAAAAATGTTTGATCCCATCCGATTCGTCTCTTGAATCCATTTAAACTACGTACAAAATATTTCTCGTATGATGACAGATAGAGAAAATATTTAGGTGGCCTGTTTTAAGTGGAACACCCTGTATATGGTTATAAATTGTTAGTCATCGTTGCAAGAGTATACTGACAGGTTATTTTCATTTGCTTAATAGTTCCAGCTTTAATCTCACTCGTTTCACTTTTCCGACATGGAGACCTTCTAAACATACAATACATTTGCACTTTCGTTCGCGCATCCATTGTCTATGTTGTAACAACTCTGCAGGGTTATTTAAACACGGGGGCAGGTAGAATGCTGCGTGACGAATCGTAATCGTGGCTGCACAGACCGCGCAGAAACAATTGTAATTACAGCATCGAAATGGAATTCAACAATGCAAACCGGCATAAACAAAGGGCAAGTTTGATTACCTAACCACGGACGGTATAATATTTGCTCGAACTGTTCTCCTATTGCCGTAGGTATTTTAACTACGAAGAATAAGATTATTCTTCCATTTAAAAATTTCCATCGGTAATATTCGAAACGCAAATCTAATTAAGTCTATAAAAAAGACTTTAGTTATAAAGTTTCATTAATACACAATGCAAATTCAATATACGATCCATCGGCGGTGAACAGCAATCGAGTAATTACTCTTCAAAAAGTTTCTCAACTAAAACTTTCTCCCTTCAAATACCCCCCCCAAAAAAACACGAATGTAATTCCGTCACTGCAATTCCTTTACAATGAATCCTCCAAGAATTCTCTTCCGAGCAATTAAAGGCGGACGAACGTTCGATAAATTAAAATCCTCGCCGTTTGAAACCATAAAAGAACCCGCTACAATTACACCCACGTCTGGTCCGTTAAACGGCTCCATTAGTTTTCTTTTTTTTTTCCTTTACAAACCGTTCGCGAACAAAACTTTCACGAACGGAATCCTCCGATATGAAACGAAGTAGTCCTATCGATACGCTCGGGTTAGGGGTAGCCTATCGATGGCTCCTCGAATGATCGACCACGTCCGCCACCGCAATGGACAGCGCGTTTTGTCATCTTGTCTTTTTAGACGAGTAATTAAGGCCGAGCTTACTACTTTCGTACCGGGTCCGATCGAGCCGGCGGGAATTGGAGAATGAATATCATCGGCGGACACTCGACGGGTTCGACGTAGCGTGCAAGTGACAAGAGGCTCTCCGGGTTTTGCGGGACGCCACGCCGGCTGGTGGACGACATTCCAATACGTCAAAGCCCGATGGCGTAGCCGCGATCGGTCCCCGATCGGTTGGCCGATTATTTTTCCGGTGATTACTCGTCGTTGGTTGGTGATCGAGGGGGGGGGGGCAAAGGGTAGAAAGGTGAGGGTTTCAGGGGTGGTTCGAGGGTGGCACAATCGGGTCGAGATATCGCAACGCGTCATTTTCGCTGCCGAGCCCAGGTTGGTACATACCACGTGATCCGACATAAAGCGGCTTTTCACCGTGGTGTATAACAGTTTGACGGCCGTTAAATCCTCGCCTAGACTTGACGGCGTGATGAGATCCCACCAGCGCTCTGTTCATCTTTATTAATGAACAGATCGCCGATAATGTGCGTTATCGTCATCGTGAACGCCAAACTAGCCCGGTTACATTGACGGGCGTCGATATCCTGGACGCGTTTGCGGCCCTATTCTCGTTTCAACACCCGACCACCATCACCATCTGGCCGTTCTCTATTGATTCCGGGACAAATTTCGAGATGCACACACGCGGATCGAACTCGATGTTCGAGGCGGAATACGATCCCTGGGTGGATTTTATGCGGTTACTGTGTGTATGAATAGACCGAATTCGATAGGATTGATAGATCCCTGACGGAGGCTCAACCGCGGGTTTAGCCTTCGCTTATACTCGCGAACTTTTAGTTAACCAATTGCGACTACTGTTGGGGAGGTTTTGGTCTAGAGCCCACACAAGAGTAGGTGATTTTTCAATATCGAGGTGTATATGGGAAAGTACGACAAAGAGTTTTATCGGTTTAGAATATTTTTGGAGATGTTTTAAATTATGGAAATTAATTTTTTTTTTTTTAATGCAGTGTTTTGTCATTATTTTCGACGACTGGTCTCTCTCGAGAATTACTTTATCGGGAATCATTTTCTAGATACGAAGGAATTCTATTTTTAGGGCAAGTATAACATTTACTCTGAATCTTGAATGTTGACACCAGTGAAATAGTATTTCACTAAGATTCAGTGTGACCCCCTGAATATCTTTTTTTAATTGTGAAAACGCGAAAAATGTTTTAGACGTTATTTGAATGGTATTTAGGGGTGAGTACCCTGCAGACGTTGTTTTTTTCTCGAAGTTTTCTAGGACATCGACGTTTCTTTTCAAATAATTATATATTTTTCAAGGTTCTATCACAGGACATATCAGAATGTATTTTTTTTATTAGCTACGCGACGCAATAGGAAAAAATATGTAGTTATTTGAAAACAGACATCGATGATCTTCAAGAAAAATGCAATTTGCTTGATACCTATAATTAGGTTCAATAACAAAATAAAATCGAAGCAAATAAAGAAATTATATCTTTTTTTCTAGTTTCTTTCTGTACGATAACGATGGTGTCTTTATTTTCTGTTTAGTTCTATCAAGGTGTCCCTTCCGTTTTACGCGTACTTATTCATTAATCAGGCTACAGTTCCACCTTTCATCACGAGCAACGGCGGTGAACTAATGGCCTCCCCCTAAGCTAACATTGATGAAGTAACAGCACGGGGCATGTAATACTCGGATTTATGGGAAACTGATAAGCCCATAGAGTCATCGATCTGTATTCAGAGTTCTCGCGTAAATAGCGCGACAATTATTTTTCACTCGAACCACTCGAAATACACGGTGAAAATTTCATATCGATAGAAGTAACTCCCTTATAACACGGTGGTTAGATTCCTAAAAATGGCTATTTTATGCAAATTCGTATAATACAAAACTATGGTACAAACTAATGCTAAAAAAAAGTCACTCATTAATTCTCCACGTTGTACAGAAAATGTAAATTACATTCAGTGTTATGAACAATCTTCATCAAAATGAATCATGGCACTGTAATAATGAATTTTTAAAAATAATTCTCCTCTGGTTCCACTCAAATCAATCAGTAATTGATCAACAATCCATTAGTTCTTCGTTAATTTTGTCGTGTGTTGATTTTTTATGGGTGAAAGAAAATTGTGGTACAAACCGAAAGGATGTGATTGTACAATAATAAAAAATAAGTTTTCACGGTTCTTCAAATCGTTCGTCAATTGAATAGGATTTTCACTTTCTACTTATTATCACTATAAACATGTACACTTTAGATGAATCTAAAAAATTGATTGTCTTGGAAACAAAACATCATACCCAAAAATATTATTCCACATTATCGACTTTTTTTGCATAGAAAATCACATCCTCTCGGCTTATACCACCATTTCAGAGGCAGGTTTCCAAAACTAAGCAGAACCACACTATTCCACAGAAACTTCATCCATGCTACAAGAATACCATATTATTCGACGATTCGAACTCCCGAACCGCGTCAAAGCGAAACCGTGCTATAGGATTCCCACGTTGTACGCGGGGTTGCCTGTACTCGAGGTTTCCAATTCTAAAATATTCATTTCTTCCGCAACAACGGATACTCCACGATACTCCCGTGTCTAACACGCGAAACCCGTCGTGTTTCAGAGATCGATCGTCCGCCGACGACGCGTAGGCCCGGCACGCGGCGTGAATCGAAGAAAGCCTGGAAGATCGATCACAGCCACGAAAGGAAGACAGCTGGTATGAAGGACGAGCCGATGCCGAAGAGTCTGGACACCGAGGACGAGCAGATCGATTTCCAGTCGGCGACAGCCTCGTCGCTATTCGATCGTCATTTGCTCGCTAATCTGGGCATCACCGCGGTCACCGTTATCCTTGCCGGTCTGTCGACGTAGGTGGGTCTTTCTGTGGGATCAATCACATCAGAAACTGTTCGAACCGGGTCTCGACGGGTCGTAATGGGTCACGGGCACGAATTCGCCGGGTCGAATACGCTGGAACGCACGGATTAGACTGATCTTGGCGGAGGATTCAAATGAAAGTCTCTTCCTGTCTGCACACGGAACTCGTGGCAACGACGAAGAAATTATGGATTCTGTGGTGTTTCGTGGAATTAGGGCTAGGTCTGCCCGACCGTGATGTGTGACCAGTGGGACAAGTAGTGGTGGGTAATCAAACATGTTTGACCCTTTAGCTACGTTACTGCAATGTAGGCTGGCAGGAATCACGATATGCTCTTCGGTTACTTGACTATTTTCAATCATTTCGTGGAGGATTTTTCATACAGGAAAACGAAATAGAATTGTTAAGAAAACGATGCTTATCTAAAGTCATATTTTGTCATTGTTTGATAAGTTTTATTTAGTAGTTCATGGATAAGGGACATTAGTCTCGGTGGTTCACCTTGTGGATACAGGCTATAGCTGGCGTTAGGAACGAAATGATTGAACATTTGACGAGGAGTTTAAGAAGTTCCAAGCTGAGTTTGATTATGGGGAAGGGTTCGAATTGAAGTCTGATGACGTTTGAAAATCCAAACAGTCTGATGACTAGACTGCGGATTTTTCTGCAAAATAAAAGTTTCTAAAGTAATTTATAAAGACAGGAGCAATTGTGGAAATTTATTGTCCTTCTTAAGCATCTTATTGGGTTCAGAATAAAATAAAAAGCTCGTTGGATCCGATGAAAGTTTTGTTTTTCATTGTATATCACAGAGCTCTATAGGCTATAAATGCATAAAATCCGCAGTCTACTCATGACGTTTCAAACACCAAAGAGTTTGAGGACGTTTCCAACTCCAAACAGTCTGATGACGTTTCAAACACCAAAAAGTCTGAGGAAGTTTACAACTCCAAACTTTCGATCGGCTGTAATTTACGGGACAAGGGTATCGATGAATAACTGACTGTGAAACCTCCGATACCCTACCATCTCGAATCGCTCGAGCGACGATCGCGAATCTTGCAGCTTAAGGTTTTGAAGGTTTTATCAAACTATCTAGAATGTTTGCAGAGTCTCGAGAGTTCGAAGTTTAAAACGCCATCGGACTGTTCGAAAGTGATCTTCGGTTTAAATACCTCGCCATCATCAAACTCGGCTGTAACAGCTTAAACGCCTCGTCAGACGTTTAGGTCGAACATGTTTGAAACAGTTTATTTGCGAACTCCCTTCTAGGGACAGGGTTGTTTGCGTGCTGGCTACCCCCGAAGAACGATGAGTTTTTTGGGAGTAGTTTGTTTTGAAAGGATCGAATCTTCGCAGGGATCGTAACCCTTGATTGAACTCTTTCTTGTGACGGGGCTGCCAATGTTTCGGCAGGATTGGAATTTCTATTGGACACGGAGAGCGGGATTCAAATGGAAATGATGATGGTTTTCTTTTTGGGTGAAAATGAAAGCAAATGTCGAGTTTAACGTTATTAGAGCTCTTGTGTTATTGCGTTTTACAGGTTTACACTTATTGTAAATAATGTAGATCGGTGGTATTTGAGTCAAGTGGGATTTTCTGTGTGAACCTCTTACAGGTTGAAAGTGTACGATTTTATTTAAACGCTGCTTGGAAGCTAAATTGATCGATTCTGGAAGTTGTATCGTGATGATAATAATTCGTTATTACCCATGGTAACATAAACAGGTATAGAAATTTATGTGAAATGGAAATGAAAGTAAATATGTACTAAATATTGTACACTAAAATATTTTAGTATTACTAAATATTATTTTCTGTTGAAATTTAGTGTGAAATGTAAGAAAGAGACAGATTCCATGGAATATTGTTTGGGGTGTATGCTTTAATTTGCGAGATATGAAACATAGCAGGAAATATATTATAAATATCGAAATTGTAAAGATTTCAGAAATTGGAGTTGATCGGTTTCGCTTCTGAGGATTTGTTTGTTTCTTTTTTTATGCTTGTATATTGTATCGATAGATCAATAGGCGATTTGCCATACTTGTGTACTAGATTTTCTTCCTGAAAAATAAGTTTGTTAGAAAACTTTGATTTCTTTTTTAAGGTGTTTGCAATGTATTTTATTCTTCTTGTGTTATAAAGTCAATATATTTGAAACATGTATAAAAATGGATCTTCCTATTAACTTTATGGTACAAGAACTTCATTGAACAAGGTGATGGAATTAAATATTGAGTTAACGTTTCTTAAAGAACTATGACAACAAATTTATAAGGAATAAGTTAACGGCAATATTATAAATTACACATGATACTTCTAATTCTAATTTTTGCTAGTCATAGCTTTAGGTTTGAAATATTCGTAAGTCCTGTCTATGTACACATATTCAGTATCATTCGTTAATAATTTCGATGATTACAGTCCATCAAAAAATGTTTCCAAATGATTTACGAATTAATTTTCGACAACATTGTTTGACATTTAATACCGTTTACATGTTTCAAATCGAGTAAAATTTGTATGGTGGATAATAGGTGCGAAAAATAAGTATTTTCCCTTGTAAATATAACTCATACATAAGCTACATACATCGTAACTTTGCTTTAAATACTATTTTTTATATCATTGACTTACCGACAAAAAGTACTGATTAGTTCATTCATTTTACAACAATAATGATATATTAAAATTAATGTATAATTCTTTCCTATGGAATATGAATGTATATGTATTTTCAGTCTTTTACTTTCAATTAAATTCTATAAACATTCGAAAGGTACACGAAAAAATTTAATATATTGATTTTTATACTATTTTTCTTTTTTTGATTTTTTAATCATTCACATGACAAGCCTAAACAAGACATTCATAGTTCATTGTAACTATAATTCATGAAACATTGTAATGTCCAAGAATTTGTTAAGAAAGTATGTCGTATATCGAGCTTTTGGTATGATAATTATTAATGTTTACAAAAGCGTAATTAACCGGAACAATTGTTAGTAGCGTCATAAAATTTGGACTGTCTGGAAAAGTAAATTTTTAGTTGCACGAGTACCCATGTAATGCAGTAGATCGAAAGTACATAGGTGGCTGACCGATGACGGCATATACTACTTACCGAGAAGCGAGATGAATTCCTACGGAATATGTAAATATTGTACAGACATAAAACCGTTAACTTGTTTAAATTACAGTCACATATTGTTCGAAACAAAGTTTTGATGAAACTCTTAATAACATAGTACTTATCATGTGTTAATTAACAACATGGCAGTACGACAATATTTACGACATGTTAATTTCTTGAACCCAAACAGAAATTTCGAGTATCTGATCACACGTCTCTGTAACGTGTGGAAATACTATACAACATAAAAGCATTCCTAACGAATTTCCGTTTCGAAATTTGTTGTTTCATCTTCGATAGCCTAGTGCAATTAGTTTTCATGGCATTTAGTATTTCTCGAAATCTGTCCCTCAAACATTTCACGTTCTTATTCGAAGATATTGAAATTGAGAATAATAGACACGTTTATTCTGTATAACTCAAACGAGTTCGAAAGTTCGTGCAAAATTTTGCGACGAACAACAGGTGACTATAATTTTACGAAATCAGTTATCATCTTACAGAATATTTATTCAACTCCAGGGTATATGAAGATTCACAGAGTTTCTCCATAAGTTATTTATCGTGGATTTATTTCCAATGTTTACACACGCGTGCTGTACACAAGAAACGCGACGAATGATTTCGTGAGAGAATCTGTGATCTCATACGGCTTCAAAGACTCTTCGTGAAAATATTCGTGAACCCTCCATCCTTCGGTATTGACACAGTAACCAAGGTAGCGAATACGAACTAATGTATAGGGATGTGTACAACAACGATCCGGGTAATATTTTAATGTACCCCAAAACAGCGGATGCCATCGTGTATAATCGACTCCGGAAAAGTACTGAATATACGAATTCTGTACAACGTCAGATACGATCAGGTCCTAACTATTCCGTTCAATAGGCGTATCAAAATGTAATATTGTCTCTGAAATGTCTTGCGTGTTTAACCCTTAACTACAAACAACTACAATGATTAATCCGCAATTCTTGTAACAACCAATTGAACGTTATTTTCCACGATCGTTGTGGAAATAGTTCACTTTACTGTCAACTGAAGGTACATAAACGCTAGAGCTTCCAAAATTCTCCACCAGGTAGCGATAGTGAAATAAAAATTCAGTTATCTGTAGTTAAGGGTTGAAGAACCAGAATTAATCTGAAGGGTCGTTAATCGATTAGAAATGATTTATATTAATTAACCCTAATAATAAAAGTACATTAGATTAATAGAAAATGAAAAGGATTTAAAGCGTGTTCAGGTTATCCATATGTCCATGTCGATATAGAAATGTTTCTTTAATTATTTTTATATTGCGATACCCTGACCCAATAAAATATAATATCGTTGTAACACTCGAAAAATGTAAATGACAGCCCGTCCTCTATTTCCTACTAATCGATTTGTTTCGGTTTGTTGCCTCTTTCACGATTTTCCTATATTTCTCCTCGTTCTTCGAATCGTCGTTCGGAACAAGGTAGATCAGTACAAGTGTAGCGAAGCAACCCTATAGACCATTTGTACAGTGTACGACGTGAAATCGACTCTAAAGAAGAAAGCATGCTTCGTTTTATATTTTTTATTTTGCTCCTCATTGATTTTGTTAGATTCCAATGGCGGAGATGTTGACACCCAACGCCGCCTGGGTCAAGCTAACAAAGATAATGTTACTTACAATTAGTCATTACTAGACTGCGGATGTTTATGCATTTATAGGATTTCAGAACATGGAAAACTCAATAAAATAATGGTTCTAATACAGTTTAATACTATTTATGTATAACTGTTAATGCAATAAAGTTTTTAGTACGGAGTTCAAAATTTTATTCCATTTAAATTTTTATATATTGCTATCTGAAACTGTGA